TTTTTATCGCTTTAAACTTCAACAACTCATTTTTTTTTTACTCAAAGTAGGTTGAGATCGCTGCAGCGCACTTGCACACAAGACTTACCAGAATTTGTTTCGAGCCATGTCCATGCAACATGACTGGTTTTTTTTCTCCTCCCTCTTTTCCTCGTCCAGGAATCCGTCGTGTCCCGCAGCAGTGGTTCGGATCACGAACTCTTTGGTGTGAGGCGCTGCATTCCTGCACCAACTAAAGCGGCCGTACACCGCTCTCTCCTCCCGTGAAGCTTGTGTCTTCTGGAAATGTTTTTTTTTTAAACCGAGCAGAGAACAAGGCAGCGGCTGCCTCCAATATGTGGCCTCCGCGATGACGTAATGCGGAATCTCTTCACATGCGCCAGTGTGACTGCACGCTGCGCACGAGGGATGCAAAGAAAGAGACAAAGTGGAGGAAGAAATTTGTTAAAGGATGAATTGTAAACGAGCAGCACAGAGGCTAAAATAAAATAAAACTACAACAAATATAGCTAAATAGGCGACTAAAATGTGTAAAACAAGAGCTACAAACTAAAATAGCTAAAGCAAAAACTAAATAAATTGTTGCTGAAAGCTAAAGGTAATAAAATCGTATCTATAAGTCAAAATAACCAAACTTAAATAAGCTAAAGTCACGCTAGAAAACATATTTCACACGAATGCGGCTAAACTAATTTTGGATAATGCAAATAATAATAAAAAATAAGCTAAAAGTTAAAATGAGCAAACCAGTATCTAAAAGCATAAACGAGCAAAATAGAAGCTAAAAGCTTAAATTACAAAAAACAGAAACTAGAAGCTAAAATTAGTAAAACTGAAGCTTAAGTAAACAATATACAAACTATTGGTAAAAAAATTAAAGTCAACAAGCCATAGCTAGTATAGCAAAAGCAATGTATAAAAGCTAAAATTAGAAAAACAGGAACTAAAAGCTAGCAGAGGTAAAACTAAAATTATGAACAAGGACTGAGATGTGCGGTAAAAAGATGTTCATGGGTTTAGTGATGGAGGGGAGGATATGCAGAGGGTTACATATAAATATACATGTAACGCACTTATATGTAATATTATAAAAGTACATTTTTCCTGCTGATATCTGACTTAATCTGTATTTATTTTTATTTGCAAAATGTGCCTTTATTTCACATGAAATACACCACGACACATTTTTGAACAACTGTTCTTGAACGCAACTCATCCTGTCCACGTGCGCCTCCTCCCCCCACTGTTGTAGCTAGGCAACCGTCACAGAAGATGGGCGGAAATTGCTTGATTAACTTGGAGAAAACTTTGATAACAGGAGAAGAAGAAGACATGTTTTGCCACTTTTTTTGTTTTGTTTTTTTTACACGGCAGAAGGATTGTCTCACAGAGGAGGAACAGTGAACTCAGCCGAAAGTTGAGTAAGCCGATATACAACGAGTCATTTTTTCACTTTCTCCCATGACAACGACCCCCCTCAGCTCATTAATTATGGATCAGCCGAGTTAATTAAACCTCAACTTAACCTTAGCTAAGAGGGCTAACGTATCCGGAGATGAGTGAAGGGGTCATTTGTGAGTTTAGCTCGTGTTTACTAACATTTCTTTCTGGATTTCAACGACGCGAAATGTAAATATATAAAATAATTTARTATTTGATGCCACGCAGGTGTTTTTTTTTTTTTTTCCCAGCCAGGGCGTTTACACCTTTTCTTTATGCTCTAATTAATGTCACCTGGATGAGTTTGAGCCATCATGTCAGATGTTGAATCCCTCTTAAACCCATCCAGGGAAGGACGAACTCAACAACAAGGTGGGCAGTAAAATTAATAATTATCTAATTAGCTTTCCAGGGAATATTTTCTCCTATTTTTAAATTGCTGAAATGCTCAGGACACTCTAAAAATTAAATATTGGTGTTAACTGGTTCCACTTAACTGAATTGAGTAAATACAAAGCAACATACTCATGTTCTTTGGTTTAAAAAACTGGTATATTGCTGTGAATTTACTTAGTTAAGTGGAGTTGGCATGACATGATTAAATAAATCCAACATTTCATTTTTTACAGTGCGGAAGATATAAAGTCAGTTACATTAATGCACAGTAAAAACATAAAATAAATAAAACACATCTTACCACTGGTTTAACAGAGCTTGGGAGTTTTTATTTATTTATTTTGTTTATTTTTTTTGTAGCACTTTGAGATTTTTGGTAATGGAAAGTGC